CAACTGCCTGAATTTCCCTGAGTTGCGTGGTGGCCAAAGAAAGGGCCCTGAGGGCCTCGTCGAGCCTGCCTTCACTTAGGGCGGCCGACGGGCTGCAAAAATGGGGCCTTATGGGGCTCTTAGAGGCAATGGCCTCGCATTCCCTCCTCCTTAGCTTCAACGGTCCTCTGAGAAGCTCAGTCTTCGATCATAGGGCGCTTTCCCTTCTGCAGAGATCTCTCGTCTTGAGTTACAACTTGAGGAGCAGTCTGCATGAGCTCTTCCCTGGTGAACCAGCGGCCCTCCTTCGGATCAGTGTGATGCCGGAACCGAACGCGATACTGCAGCTTCGGTTTTGGAGGACGTCCCCTGCCTGCTGGTCTTGATACCGGCAGCTCTCTGTGATCTACAATATCATCAATGTCCACCTCTTCGTCCATGGTTGGGGGCAGCATTGAGCGACGAGATGGAAACTGGTCAGTCTCTTTGAAAGGTGCCAGCTTGGAGGCGTGAAAGACAGGGTAAGTACGAAGATGACCAGGAATCCGGGTAACATAAGATGGCCCATCTAGATCTGTCCTGATGATGTCCAAGACTTCCCAAGGTCCAAAGTACTGAGTTTGCGGGAGATCCCGTACTCCTGTCCCAGTTCTGAAGACTTAACCCAGACCTTATCCCCAACCTGAAATGGAGAAGGCCGGCGATGTCTATTGTCAGACTCTATCATTGCTGCCTGTGCCTTTTGCATCTGCTCTACCGCCTGATGCATTTTCTGTTCATATCTGTAGGCGAACTCTAAAGTACCCGGTGCAGCAGTTGATTGATATCCAGGAAGGAGAAAGTCAAGGGGTAGTCTAGGCTTGAAAGTTAGTAGTAAATTGTTCGGGCTCACCCCAGTGGCGCTATGTACAGCATTGTTGTACACGCTGGCGATGAGAGCAAGTTTCTCATCCCAGTCCACTTGGTTGGGCTTAATGTAGTGCCTCAACAGGTGCTGCACAATGCGATTGAGTTGCTCAGCCTGTCCATTGGCCTCAGGGTGATTCCCAGAAGTCATCTGCAACTGAGTTCCCTGCTCTGCAGCAGCGACCTTCCACAACTCGCTGGTAAACCGAACATCCCGGTCACTGACAATAGACTTCGGTAATCCAAAGTCTCTAACCTAGTTCTCTTTGAACATCCGGATCATATACTCCGTCTTTGCTGTTTCCGGCATTGGTACTAATCTAGCATACTTACTAAATCTATCCACGATGACGAAGATGTGACGCATCCCACTCTTGCTGGTGATCAGAGTATCCATGAAATCCATGGACAGACGCTCACCAGGCCGTTCCGGAATCGGAAAGGGCTTCAGAAGCCCAAGAGGAGCCTGAGTACGTGGCTTGTCCCGTTGACAAACTTGACAAGTCTCCACGTACAGCTGGGCATCTCGCATCATCATGGGCCACCATAACCGCTGCAACAAGTTGGCTGCGGTCTTCTTATACCCAAAATGGCCGGTGGCATCATGACACTCGCCTAAAAACAAACTACGCAAAGACTCACTATTGGGAACGCACAATTGTTTTTTCCCTGCCTTCTCAAGGAACAGCAAGCCATTGACCAACTCAAACTTGGCAGAGGTCTTCTTGTCCTTTGCCTGAAGTCTACGTATGATCTCAGACATGAAGTGGTCCTCGCGATAGGCTTCCACCAAGGACTGAGTAACATGGTCCTTCAGATTGAACTCAGTAATCAGCGCATCTGAGAAATCAGGTCTACGCGACAAGGCATCAGCAACCTTGTTGTACTTCCCTTTCAGATACTGAGGGTCAAAGTCATATTGCTCAATGACTTCGATCCAACGCTTGAGAGCGTCAGAGGGTACCGGCTGAGTTCTCATCCATCTCAGGGTCTGATGATCAGTCCTGAGGATGAAGAACCTCCCAAGGAGATAATGTCTCCAATGGGTCAGAGCCTTGTACACCGCATAGAGTTCTTTCTCATAGGTGGACTTAGCCAACTTCTGAGACGACATTTTCTTGGACATGTACTCTACTGGCCTCAACTTTGGCCCCTCCTGTTGCACGAGCACGACGCCAATGCCATATTGGTTGGCATCCGTGGTGACTATAAACGGTTTGTCAGGATCAGGAAGTTTCGAGACCTCGTAGTGCGTCAACGCATGCTTCAGATGTCTGAAAGCAGCCTCGCAGTCGTCTGTTCACTCCCATGGGGTGTCAAGGCGGGTCAGATCAGTCAAAGGAGCGGCCACTATGCTATAGTTCTTAACGAAAGTCCTATAGTAGCCTGTCATTCCCAAGAAAGATCTCATCTCATTCACAGACTGAGGACGTGGTCAATCACGAATGTTGGCCACCTTCACGTCATCGGGCTTCAACCCTTCCGCGGAGATCTCATGACCCAAGTACAAGACACGGGTGCGGCCAAACTCGCACTTCTCACCGTTGATCTTGAACTTGTGCTGTCGCACGAGGCTGAGGACTTTCTCCAAATGTGCAACGTGCTCCTCGACAGTCTTACTAAAAATAAGTATGTCATCGAGGTACATGATGACAAACTTATCTAAGTAGTCATGGAATATCCGATTCATAGCGTGCTGAAAGGTGCCAGGAGCATTGCAAAGGCCAAAATGCATCACCACAAACTCGTACAGACCGTACCTGGTCTGGAAAGCGGTTTTGTGCTGATCCTCGGGCCGGATTGCAATCTGATGGTACTCGGACTTCAGATCTATCTTACTGAAGTACCGACACCCTTGCACTCTATCTAACAGATCGTCGATGCGCGGTAGGGGCTCTCTATTCTTTACAGTGATGGCATTGAGGCCCCTATAGTCAATGCACATCCTAAGAGTACCCTCCTTCTTCTTAGGTACGAATAGAACTGGAGACCCATAAGGAGAGACATTCGGCCGGAGTCAACCCTTCTCTACGAGTTCCTTGAGTTGGCGGCGAAGCTCATCAAGCTCGCTTGAAGACATCCGATAGATCCTACCCTTCGGAATACTAGACCCTGGGATAATCTCTATTGCATGGACGACCTCCCTCTCAACAACCCCTGTCGGTTCTTCAAATAGATTAGGGTACTTAGCAACTACTCCCTCTATCTCCGGCGGCATTTTCACCGGCTCGTCTGCAGCAGAGACATAGACTAAATACATACCCTCCTCCTGATTTTTCTTATAATAATTGTAGAACGAGGCCGCACACATGCACCCATAGGACTCAATCAGACTACTAGCTTTGAACTTATGTAATCTGACGGTCCCTCCACCTGGCAAAGTGTGTTTGACCACTTTTCGGTCCCAGTCAAACTGGGGCTGTGCCACAGAGAGGTAGTACATACCTAGTAACATATCCATTGGGAGCTCGTCACTTACTAGGAACGAGACACGATGTCTCAAGTCCCCTCCCACGTACGAGAAACAACACTCAACATCCTGGAGGTAGTCATTGACTACCATGCGCTGTTTGTTGGCACAGGTCGACTCCACATGTCGACTTAGGCGCTGCACTTGCCCCTGTAAGCGCAGTCTCTCAACGCACGCGCAACTAATAAAGTTTCATGTCGAGCAAGTGTCATAATAGGCCCCAGCTTTGCGGCCGCCAATGACAACCTCGCTGAGGAACATCTCACCCTTAGGGGCTTTGACTAAGGCCGTCCAAGAAGCTAGCGGGTCTGATCTAGACCACTCCACCTCTAGCTCCTCTAAGGACTCAAACACATTCATCGAACAGAGGCTCGATGGGTCTGAACGTGTTTGCGGGACGGCGCTGGAGTCAGTAGCTTGGGCCATCTCTCGAGATGGTGAGGGTGTCTCCACCACCTCGACCCTAGCAGGAACAACTACTATTCTTATTGGCCCGACGTGTTTCCCGGAGCACTGCCTGAAGTACTGGCAACATTGCTACCAACGGGATGAGAGGATCCCAACACCCGCCCCATCGTAGGCGGGATCTTTTCTGTCACTTTCTTATTGTGGCACTTGAATTGGTTGTGGCCATATTGACCACAACGAATACAGGCCTGCCGTGAGTAACGATCTCTCCACACGTCCTCTGTAAGACCCGCTTTCTCCCATGGAGGAGCATTGGGGTCAACTTGACTCCTAGACCGGGAACCTCCACGGCGTCTACCGGTCGCCTTTCCTTTTTGAGCTACGGCAGCGACCACTCCACCCTCTGAAGTTTCTACGCTGCCCGCCTCTGAACCTACTCCCTCCTGGAAGTGTTCGTCGACTTCGATAGTGGAACCATCATTATCGACAAACATTAAGCGACCCTTCGCCTTCCAGTTAGGAGGCAGTGTCTTTTTCCTCCCATCCGTAGTGGGTGCCTGTCCATGCCCTATCTTAGCCTCTAGGTCTAGGGCCAACTTGCTGAACGAAGGAAAGTTGTGCATATTGATGTTGGCCTCCCTTGTCAACTGGTTCCTGAGAGGCTGAGAAAAGCATCTCAAGTACGAGGTAAGGAGAACTTGGGGGTCGTAGCGCACCCCAGGGACACAGATGAGACGCTCAACAACGTCGGTGGCTTCCCTTACTGACTTAAACTACCGTGTGTGCAGTGTCAGGATTGCATCAACGGCCCTTTGGGCCACCTGAGGATCATGCCACCTTTCCTCCACCATCTTCAGGAAGTCATCCAATTTCTGGGTGGCTGCCCAAGAGCGGAAGTCATGACCATACCCCTGAAGTTGCACTAAACCACTCGACCATCTCGCTGCACTACCCTCTAGGTAGGAAGCAGCCACAAGCACTTCTTCGTGCGGCAAGGTAAGTTTACACCTGACGTAGACCGACACTGCCCTCAACCACGTGTCGAGGTCTTCTCCTCTCTTATCCCCTGTGAAAGGTTTAGGAGCGGCAATGGCCGTCTTTGGAACCCACTGTGTTTGTCCCGGTCCCTGCACCACTCCGGGCTGTGGACCCAGTGATACAGGCTGCTGTGCTAGCTGCCGGGGCTGTGTGCCCTGCGGCTGCACAGGTTGCGAGATAGCAGGCTGCGTGGTGACCGCAACCTGTGACGAAGTTTGGGTGAACACTGTCTGAACAGGAACCTGCAAACTAGTCCCTGCCGATACCCCTCCTGTCAGCGGCATGTCCAGGGAAACGATAGCAACCGATGACGGGGCTACATATGGGGATACCCCTGTCACCGGTGGGACAGAAAAAGGAGGATATGCCACGGGCCAGGCACCAGGCCCGGATGGTGATGGTGCTGCCTGAGAACGCCCTGCTAGAATGGCTAGGCTCTGCTGGATATCCTGAAGGATGGTAGTCTGATGCTCTTGCATCTCTATTACTCCTAGCAGGGCCCTCCTAACTACCCTCACATCATCATCCATGTTCGTCAGGTCCATCGTCTCTAACGCCTCTATGTCTGCCCCTCTCCGCTGCATCCTGGCTCTTCTTCTAATCATCTTCTCCTTCTCCGCTTTTATCTCTCCTAATGCCCGTTGTAGCTGTGCCTCCTGCAGGGCTGCCTGCTGGATGGCGACATCCTGTGGGGTCAACACCAATGCCTGGCTTGCCATCACCCCAGTGGACTGACTCACGGTCTGCGCGACCGTTGACCTGACAATACCTGAACTGCTAGCCTGGGAAGTCTGTTGTGCAGAGGTGACCATAGCTGAAGCGGCCATGGCTGTTGTAGCAGCGGCCTAGCTAGCTAAAGCCCTGCTGGCCTCAACTGCTCTAGCTCTCCCCTGCTGCTACTGCCTCTCCCTAAGCTGGCGGAACAGAATCCTATCACTCTCCGGTCCTAGGGACACGTGGGCTATCGGGCGCCTAGCTGATCGCAAGATCCGGTTGTCCTGTGATGTGTCCTCCGTGTCGCTCATATGCTACAGCACTGTGCACCGTCTACACTAGGTCATTCAAGATGCCTACCGCAACAGAGTGCACAGACCAATTTAAAATAAATAAATACTTAATTGGTGGCGATTCCGGAGCAGATACATTCGGGTTCTAACAGGTAAGTCCAGATTCCTACAAACGAAACTATTTTTAGTCTGACTAGACCGCAAACAGAAGCACCAGGAACAATAAACAGTTCTAACTAATGTTGTCTGTCAGATGTCAATGGTTGTACACCTAACTAATCAAAAACATAAAAATAGAATCATTTGTGTGGATAGGACAGCATGGAATTTTCTCGAACTTATCACCTGGAATCAGCCCCTCCCTTAGTTCCCCTGAGTATCACTTGACGTCAGCATCCCTGAGCAATCTGGAGAGCGTCACGTGTCTAAAGGTGTGTGTCCGGCCCACCCCTGTGCCCCGAGTATCTGCTGAACTGGCCAACCTTGCACGTATATTTATCCTCGGCATGCCGCGAGCCTTACATCACTGGCTGATCCAGAGGCATTTTAACGTCCGCCCCCAAGTGACATCAGGAATTATTTTATGTCGCACCAGGACGACGATCACAGCCACTGATATCCCCTTCCCGTGTTTATTTATAGACGTCGGGTGCTCGTCTTTCCTGTAGGGCTGGCCTGCCCAGTAGTACCCATCTAACAGCGCAACAAGCCGAACAAAGGACAAGCAGCAAGGCATGCGTGCTCTACTCCCTGTGGGTTGGCATGGTGATCGTGACCCAATGCTTCGTCCAGGGCCCTTCAGAAAGCTCCGCCCATCTCCACCCAGATGCTCCACGTGATCATTGTCGACTCTCAAGGTTGAGCGCACTCAACACCTCACGATGAGAGGACTCTCAAGAAGGAACACACAACCTCACGGTAAGAAGTGTCGGAGAGGGAAGATAAAGTTAAGAGCAACGTACCTCAATTAGCTGCCCCCAACCATAGAGATAATCTCACCAGATGACCAAATGGCGATTGCGATGACCAGTCACTGCATCGACACAACCAGCATTATCTCGCCGTTCCACCTCAGCATCAATCGCACATTAGATAGTTCTCATCACACTGTCCAGACCACATTCCCCTCACGTAGCCTTCCTGGCGATCCCCTCACCTCCTGGGTCGCCACTACGCTCATCTCCACCCTCCGCACTACACACCACTTACGGCCAAACTCGCCCAGCAGACCGCATGTATGTACCGCATAAGGCAGAAGACAAGCGCCAGATGAGCGCAATCGTACCACGGCTCTGATACCAAATTGCAAGGAAGATGAGCAATAGCGAACTTCAGCAATCAAACAACATCATACATATGACTCCAGATAGTCTTGACCTCGAACCAACAGCAGAATTGCATCACGAGATTCACCAAATAAGAACACACCAAGAGTTCATAATTGACAATGCTGAAATAGTCCCATCATCATCAACGAAGAACCAGAGTTGATATCCTATCTGGCGCTCGGCGCCCAGACTACATGTGGCAGATCCTATCTAGCCTATACTACGAAGCCGAAAGATGACGTCAACAGCATTCCCGAAGTACGAGCATATGACGACCACTGTCGCACGCTTCCAGCACCAGGTATGTCTCGTGCTACACTCACAACCTCGTTCCCCAACTCACAGATGCCACTAGCACCCAAGGACCACCCTGTGCCTCACCCAGCTTACAGCAGTGCAGCTCGGCTATGGCTGCGTGCTACTTCCCTGCTCGCCCGTGAGAGCGTAGGCGCCGGCCAGCAAATAGCGCAGCATGCAGCCAGCACCCGAATGCCGAATGAGGAGGCAGGCCCTTTCCTATATCCAAGTGGCCTGCCTGCGTCCAGTCCCAGGAAGCTTCCCGTAGGCCCCGGTAGCCTGAGGCCCAGCACGATGAGAGCAGGCCTTGGGCCTGAAGTGGTTGCATGTGCCCAACTGCCTTTGGCCTGTGTTTGGCCCGGTACCCGTATCCAGCCCAGGGCCTGCTTCACATACGTTCACACAGGCGGCCCAGGGCCTGGGTTCACTCAACCAACTGGCGCTGCGCAACTGCCTGAATTTCCCTGAGTTGCGTGGTGGCCAAAGAAAGGGCCCTGAGGGCCTCGTCGAGCCTGCCTTCACTTAGGGCGGCCGACGGGCTGCAAAAATGGGGCCTTATGGGGCTCTTAGAGGCAACGGCCTCGCAATTGCGTGAAAACGAACTCCCAATATCAGAAATTTCCCGAGATGCTAATATCAGAAATTTTCGGATATTTATTGCGTGAAAACGAAAGGAGAGGGAAAAAAAAAAAAAAAAACACGAAAAAAGAAAGAAAAACAGATTTCAGAGATTTTGACGAAACCCTACTTGATTCACTAATCAATCAATCAATCAATCAATCAATCAATCAGTAGATCAAGCAAGCTGGCTACTTGATTGGGCGGATCTTGATGAAAAAGATCCGCTTCGATACCAAACTGTTGCATACCATGAAAACGAACTGCCAATATCAGAAATTTCCCGAGATGCTTATATCAGAAAATTTCGGATATTTATTGCGTGAAAACGAAAGGAGATGAAAAAAAAAAAAAAAAAAACGAAAAAAGAAAGAAAAACAGATTTCAGAGAATTTGACGAAACCCTACTTGATTCACTAATCAATCAATCAATCAATCAATCAATCAATCAATCAATCAGTAGATCAAGCGAGCTGGCTACTTGATTGGGCGGATCTTGATGAAAAAGATCCGCTTCGATACCAAACTGTTGCATACCATCACGGTGCAGACCAGACCAAGAACCGATCTTTCTCGCCAGATACAAGATAGCACAGCGGAAGGCTCAAATACCACTGATCCGATCAATCAAGCTGCCATGCAGACCAAACATACATCATCATCATTTCATGGTGTGAAGGGGCTGACGCTCACACAGGAAGAATGCGTCAGTCCCCTGATCATGCACAGACGAAGAAGAGGGGGATTAGACGAGGGG